GTTTCCTGGCTGGAAGCTGGGTGAGCAGCGTGCAGACGTGGGGCAGGCTGCCGTGTGCTCCCAGCGCCGGAGGGAAAAATCGCGTGGCTGCAGCCTTAGGGGTTGTCACTGCAAGTCACAGCCAGCTTTATCTTGGCAAGGCATGTCGCTGCCGGGGGCTCATCACACAGCTGGTGTGACAGCCCCGATCCTGGTCCGGGTCCCAAGGCCCCGCTGCAGTGAAACAGCATTCTCCGTCACGCCAGCGCCTTGTGTTCAGGTCCTTTCTGCTTTTCACTGACCCAGGCGCTGTCTGTCCTTTCCCTTCCAGTTGATGGGGTTTCATGTTTGGAGGAGAAGAATCTTGAGGAAGATGCTGATGGCTTAGACCGAGTCAAGAGCCTTTCAGTGAAGCTTAAGGAGCTGTTTTCCCAGGGTTTGGTGAAGGAGAGCCCAGGCAGGCTGCAGACCCCGCAGGGGGGTGGCAGGCAGCAGTGCCCAGGAGCGAGCCCCAGAGAGCAGAGGCCAGGCAAGACCCCCATGGCAGAGAGACTTCAGGGCCTGCCGGAGCGTGGGCTTGGTGGACAGGAGTGATTTCCTGGCATGGCCACAGACCCACAAACAGGAGCACCCATTTCCGTGCAGTGAGTGCGGGAAGTGCTTCTCCCAGAAGGGCGACCTGAAGATCCACCTGCAGATCCACACTGGGGAGTGGCCTTACACCTGCACCCAGTGTGGGAAGAGCTTCACCCAGCGCGGGTGCCTCAAAAATCCACCTGTGGCTGCACATTGGGGAGAAGCCCTTCCCCTGCACCGACTCTGGCAAGCAGTTCCCCTCCAAGGGAGACCTGAGGATGCACCAGCACAAGCACACAGGCGAGTGCAGCAAGTGTGGGAAGAGCTCCACCAGGAAAGTTGACCTCTGGGTGCATCTGTGGAAGCACACGGGTGAGAGGCCCTTCTCCTGCACCGAGTGTGGGAAGAGCTTCACAGCCAAGGGCTACCTCGAGATCCACCTGGGGCAGCACAAGGAGAAGAGGCCGTTCATGTGCCTGGAGTGTGGGAAGAGCTTCATTTCTAAGGGCTCGCTCAAGATCCACCAGTGGATCCACACTGGGGAGACGCCGTACACCTGCCCCAAGTATGGGAAGAGCTTCACCACCAAGGGCTACCTGAAGATCCACCAACAGCTGCACAGAGGAGAGAACCCCCTCCCACCACCCCTGTCATGAGTGCGGGAAGAGCTACCTCCAGGCCCACTAGAAGATCCACAAAGAAGGGACGTCCTTCATCTGCAGTGAGTGTGGGAAGAGCTTTAACACCGCACGCTATCTCAAAATGCACCAGTGGAGCCACATCAGGCAGACAACATTCCCCTGCCCAGAGTGTGGAGAGAGCTTCATGCAGAAGGGCCATCTCTGCATCCACCAGGGCACGCACACTGGTGAGGGCCTCTTCACCTGCTCTGAATGTGGGAAGGCTCCCACATTCAGAGGGCTCCTTGAAAATCCACCTAAAAATCCACACCCAGCTGTCGCTGAGCATCTGCATGGACTGTGGGAAGAGCTTCTCCTCCACTCACTGTCTCAAGGTGCACCAGAAGATCCACTTGCGAGAGCAAGTGCCTGTGCCCACTGAACATGGGGACAGCCCTCTTCCAAAAGCCCCAGCCCCCATCTCCCAAAAAACCCACTGGGAAATGATCTCCTTCACATGCAACGAATGTGGGAAGAGATTTTTTGTCAGAAGTCTAATTTAATAACCCATGAGAAAACCCACACGGAGCAGAGGTCGGTGGATATAAAGCACGAGAGCATCCTTGGCTCTGGCACTAGCTCCAGTGTGGAGCTGCAGCCAGTGGGTCCGGGCGAGGAGATGGGGTGAGCAGTGAAGGCTCACCTAGACCCGATTCCCTATCCCCTTGCAATGGATTTCAAACCCAGTTTCCAGTTTTCTCAGCTGCTTCCACCTCTTTCCTCGGGACTAAATCTCAGCATAATCTGAACTGAATTTCACGCAGAACGTGAAATTTGGAAGTGCCGTGCTGCGCTGGGAGCAGAGAGGCACAGAAATCCAGGAATATGCTAGTGTGGTACGCCCATGGCCTGGCCCAGCCTGGCATGAGCCCAAGGGCTTTACACCTAAATTCCAGCGGTCAAGGCTGTCCTTTTATTTCCATGCTAGTTTGCTATAGCAATAGACATTTTATAGTGTGCAGGCTGCTAGAATGTGAGACCACCAACCTAGGCAGATGCTGTTTTGCTGCTTCTAGAAAGCTACAGTCCTAACATTATTTAATACATACAGCGCATGGTTTGGGATAAAATAACGCTGAAATATCAATAGTTATCTTTGTAAACAAAATAATGCAAGCTGGTTTTCATCTGAAGAAGAAATTATAGCCCCCCCAAGATAATATCTTTAAAATATACTAATGTTGCCTTGAGCATGAAGAAGGCTTACAAGTTTAGCTGTCAAAGATACATGTAACAAAGATGAAGATATAGTACTTACTTCTTTTACCAAATGTGTTTGAATAGGATGCAGAAAGTCAAGCAGTAACAAATCTGCACTTTTAAATAACCTGTTACCAGCTGCAGAACTGGAGGAACTCAGATTGGATTACACCGCTCCTGGCTGCAGGTACAGCTACTGTCATTTGTACTTCATGGGATAAACCGCAGTAGCGCTTCAAGGACGCGGGCTCCTTCGATGGCTGGAAATCCAGTGGTGCACAGGGCGGCGGGGAGCGCCCATGGACCATCTCGCTGCGGAGCTGGCGACGCTGCAGGTACCGCTGCTGTCTGAGGCCGTGTTCAGTGCTCTGCTGCTGATGCAACACGCACACATGTGCTCACGCACGCACGGGGAAAACGCGCTGCTCATGGTGAGCAGGTGAAGGACCACCCCTTCCCCAAGCCCCCACATTTGGCTGCACTGCTGCGGTAACAGAGTGGTGTCCACACTTGGCTTGTATTCAGCCACTCTTTTGGCATAACTGATGCCTCTTAATCTTGGTTTCTTTTTTGCTTTTTGCTTGTTCTACATTTCTAAATAAAGAGAGTTTAATGAGGACAAGTAAATGGCTCCATTGCCCTAGCTGCATAGCGGCACCAAGCCTAGGCTGGGCGAAGGCCTTTGCGGTGCTAGCACAGAATGGGCTGCTGGACACCAGTGTCCCAGAGCACCTGCAAAGCCCAGGCTGAAAGGATTAATGTCCGGGTGCTGAAGGAGCCTGGGGGTGGCTTTTAACGGGAGCATGACTGTGAGATGGGGGCTTTCTGTGGAGACTGCAAGGCCCCAAACTAAGCCTGAAGCTAACTGATGTTCTCAGTAGGGATCTAGAGGGCCAGAGAGGATGAGCCGGACACAAGCCCGTGCTGTCAGTCCTCCTTCCAGGCCAGGCAGCCCTGGGGCCATTTCACCCAGGAAATGATGCTGAAGTACTTCAGTGCTCCCCCTTATGCGAGGAGGTGGAGGAAAGACAGGGCACACTAAAGCCACAGGTAGCAAAAAGCTGGGAAAATGGCTCTAACGCAAGTCAACTTTGTTCATCTCACCAAGATGGAGAAAACACCTTTGCCAGGGAAAGTGCTAGGCATTAAAACAAAGAAGAAGCAAGAATCCAACTGGAAACCGAAGAGAGAAGTTCACATCAGGTATAAATTTAACAGTGAATGTAATTTCACTGTGGGAATAACTAGAGAAGCAGCAGGTTCTCCATCTGCCATCTTCAGATTAAATCCAAGAACGGGGCAGGACAGCACCCAGGCCCCAGCACAGCAGGGGGTTCCTCCTCGACACCCAGGATGGCTCACTGAGGCCAGCAAACACGGCCCCTGCGCCCGGAGCCTGAGCAGAGCCCCCGCCCGGCTCTCCCCTCTCGCTGCCCCACGCTGGCGCAAGCTTAGCTTATTGCTGCTACAATATTAAGTTTGCCTTCTCTGCTTTTCCTCCTCACGGGCATGAGACAATATCCTCTTTCTGATCGAGGCTTCACTGCTTTATGCTTGCCCAGCCAAGCAGAGGGGCCCCAGACGAGCCTGTGAGCAGCTGTGAAAGTCTGTTCTCTAACAAGCACCACTTCAAGGTTCCAGTAGTTTCAGCTTCTGGGCTCAGAATCTCATTTATCATCAGAGGACAGTGATGTAACAGGAATTACAGGAATTATTCACGGATCCATAAACCAGAGCACCAATCCTTGCTGAGTAAGACCTCCCCACCTAGGCACTGAAGCAAGTCTTCGACGACCCAACAATCCCACATCATTCCATAATTTGGGCTCTGGCTGCTTCCCTAAAATACCAAAGAGACTGAATACCTGCAGACAAACCTAAGACCCAGGCTTTGAATTACATTACTGCCACCACCAGCTACAGTTCTTTGGGATATACCCAAAAAATTAGTGCCCGTTATTTCTGGGCACTAATGAACATTTTGGCACATATCTTTTTCTGTTGTTTAAATTGTGCAATGTGTGACATCGAAATCAATCTGTACGAGCCTATATTTTGGGGTCCATGAACCTCCCCAAGTCACTTGTTTGAAGACCTTTTTTCTTACAGCTCTCTGGACCTACACAGCCCTCTTTTGGGCTTGCAAGTATATTCTGTTTGATGCCTTCAACTCAACTCTTTCAATTGTGATTTCCACAAAGTGTTTTTATTCTAAAGAAATAGCCTCACTTTTTTAATGTTGTTAAATAGCTTGAGATAAAGGGTTTATAAAAATTCATCTGTCAAAAATTGCAGCCTTGCACCTGAGGCAGAGTTTCTGTGGGAAGCATAATTTAAAGACAAGAAGGGGCCCTGGCTAGGATTTGCCCTGAAAAGTGAATCAAATTACTCCTGTGCTGATAAAAAGTTACTATATGCTCAAGAGAAGAGCAGCAGTTCTTGGGTAAGGTCTGGATGGCACCCCTTGGGAGAGATGTGCAAAGGAGAGCCCTCACGCACGTCCAAACGGACTTCCTTGAGATGCTGCTTCATCTCTCAAAGTCTGATGAAGCCCTCAGCTCTCCGCAAAGAACGTGATTTCTTGCTACATCCCAACATGCGTTGTCAGGGGTAACAGTTTTAAAAAGAGAGGAAATGAGCGCTCTGGACATTTGCACTGAGGAAATGTAAGAGACTGCTGTGGAAGAGCAGCGGCTCTTTAGAGAAGCAGCATGTGGTTTACCATGGATTGCCACGTACATCATTGCTTATTATCTGCATCAAGAAACTTTTAATTTACTGTCCAGGAAAAAAAGCATCTTCCTTCCTTTCCCATAAAATATTCTGGATGTATTATTATGATTTTTGTATCATGAGCAGCCAAGTTCTGGGTTAACAGTTATTTCATGCAGTATGCTGTCACCACAGTGCAACTTGAACATAACAGGCAAGAGGAACCACCACTGCTAACACTTATTCAGGTAAAAGAGAGAGCTTTATACCAGAGATCCAGGGAAGGGTGAACTCCAGCAGCATACAGCAGAACCCACTGCATTAGGGAAGTGAGACACAGCTTTGCCACCACTTTTCGCAAAGGTCTGATCATACACGGAGCAACATAGTGAGGTTTCATGTTACTGAGACATCTTCGCTTTCACAAGTTACACCTCAGAATGCTTCCTAATATAACACAATAAATAAAACTAGCTACACAGTCAAATGAATGAGCTACATTCATTGCAAGGCAGCATCTGTGCCTACTATACAGAGCAATCATATGCTTACTGTCTCACTGGCAAAATTCAGCGATTTCACAAGTACTTGTGCAAACTAGCAAGGGCCGACTGTAATCAGAAAGCCAGGGAAGATTCTGGTTACTCCACTTCCATTTCAGTCGTTCTGCAGGGTACTGACGGGTCAGCGAGGCAGCAGGGTGACCTGTCCATAGGAAACAGAGCATGGAAAGAAGAGCCACGTTTCGGTTTTGAGTGTCCCTCAAGCAGCAAAGGTGAGGGGGGCTTGAGGCTGTGTGGTTCAAGGAGATGCTTCTTACGGTGAGGCTGAGAGGTGAGAGTGGTTTCCAGCAAAGCAGCTGGACAGTCCCTGTGGGCAGCTCCCCATGGGGTGGCTCGGTGCGTGAGGAGCCTGAGCACCACCCCGAGGTGGAGCTCACTGCAGAAGACACTGTCTGCTGCTCGATAACTGCTTCATGTGTGGCTCCTCTGGTGGAGCAGGAGGTACTTGCTCTGGGTGAACCTCTTCCCACAATTACCACAAGCAAAAGGTCTCTTGGCAGCCAGGGCTCCCTGTGGAGCCATGACACCCAGTTTCTGGGGAGGGGTTGCCCCAGACGGCAGCAGGATGGGGCCGTGTGCCTGCTCCAGCTGGGAGCTCTGCTGCAGAGCCAGCCGCAGGCTCTGTCCCACCCGAGGGATGCTTTTCAGCGGCCCTTGCTCAGCGTGGGTTCGCTGGTGAGCCAGCATGATCCTCTCATCCCGAAACCTCTTCTCACACACTGCGCACTGGAAGGGCTTTGCCTCTGCCCGCGTGCCCGGTGGGGACACCACTGGGCCCTCTCTCCGGCAGGTCTCCAGGGCCCCCAGCATCCGCAGGCCTCTATGGATGCGCTGGTGGCTCTTCAGATGCTGTTTCTGGCTGCAGGTCTTGCCACACTCATTGCACTTGTAGGGCTTCTCCCCAGTGTGGATCCTCTCGTGGATGATAAGGGTCTTCTTGTCCTTGAAGCTCTTGCCGCACTGAGTGCAGACGAAGGGGCGCTCCCCAGTGTGGATGCGCTGGTGACTAATCAGGTGGTGCTTCTGGCTGAAGCAGTGACCACACTGGGTGCAGGTGAAGGGCTTCTCGCCTGTGTGTACGCGCTGGTGGCTCAGCAGGTGATGCTTCTGGCTGAACTGCTTCCCGCAGTCCGTGCAGCGGAAGGGCTTCTCCCCGCGGTGCACCTTCTGGTGCGACACCAGGATCTGCTTGAGCCGAAAGCTGCTCCCGCACTGTGGGCAGGAGAAGGGCCGCTCTGCCGTGTGTGTCTGCTGGTGCTTCTTGAGGTCTCGGCTCTTGTTGAAGCTCTTCCCACACTGGGTGCACGTGTGGGGCCTCTTGGGTCCCAGGGGGCCACGCTGGGGCCGAGCAAGCAGCAACTTCGGAGGGAGGCACATTGTAGGCCCAAGAGAAGGGGACTCTGTTTTCCCCAGGTGGATTTTCTGGTGTCTCTTGAGGTCCCCTTTGGAGGGAAAGCCTTTCCCACACTCTTGACACTTGAACGGCCGCTCACCTGTGTGGCTCCTCTCATGAATAGTCAGCGCGGTGTTGCTCTTAAAGCTCTTGTCACACTCAGGACACGTGGGTGGTTTCTTTTTGAGCAGGGCTGCCTGCCGGAGAGCCAGGAGGGGCTGAGTGCGGGGCCGCACTGCTGGACCACCCCGCCTCCTGCCCAGCCTGCCGCGAGCTGAGCCACCTCGCCACTTGAAGCACAGCTCAGGCTTCCCCAGGAATGCAGCAGCCGCTGGCAGTGTTTCCGGGCCTTCCTCTTCCTCCTTTTTAATCTGGGTATCACCATCTAACGAAGAGGAGAGTCCAGAGGTTATTTCAAGGTGGAATAAAACAGTACACTCAAGAGACCTCCCCAAAGGGAACAGCAACCTGAGGCACCCCTCAGGAGAACAGGAGGCTAAAGCCTCCAAGCACCCAAACACCTCCTGCTAGAGGAAAGCTCCACTTCTTCCACCGAGGGCGGAGGCATCCCTGTTGCAGCACAGAGCTGGCTGAAGAAGCAGGACCTGTTTAGGTCCTAACACCTGTTCTCAACACACAGACCCACCCTTCAGGCAGACACTGCCAACTGCACCCCAGAGCTTCAGAGACATTGGGAAACTGGGACAGGCTGTGAATACCCGCAGCAACCATTGCTTGCTCTCGGCCAGGGCACGGGGGCACCAAGCAAAGGAATTCCTGCCATCTGGGTCCTTGTCTCTAGCTCTGAGCAAGCTCTCCCCGACCCTGAGCACAGGCAGGACCTGAGCTCCTATGAGATGCGCTCTGGAGCAGAGTTATAACCACGTAGCTGCCTTACTGCTTCCAGCAGCTCTGGAAGCTGTCCTGGATGCCCCACCGAGCCCAACTGACTTCCTGGCTGAAGGACACAGCTGAGCAGCTAGCAGTTTAGTCCAGCATAGGATGCCAAATGGGACCATCCTATTTTAAGATGCCCTTCTTCCCACCTCCCCAACCCTTCAGGATCTCTTGGTACCCACCTGGCAAAGAGAGCTGGTGTCTCCTCCACACACTGGGGTCTGGAAGGTCTCTCACACATGGCTCTTCTTCTTGCTCAATCTTACAGATGATTTCTGGTTTGACAGAGGGCCAGCCTGTCACAGGGCAGACTGAGAATAACCTTCTCTCGCACTGGCACTGCTGGGACAGCTTCTCCTCCCCACTTTCACCTCCATCTCTGCTCTCTGCCCACTTACATCCGGCTCATGCACATTTCACATCCTTCTTTTCTTGCTCTTTCTTCCTGCTATTTGGCCCCTTATGAGATTCCGGGCTGCACCCGCCAAACTGCAGCTTCGTTACCCAATTTCTTTTGTCTGTAAACTTTCCCTGTCTTGCTGTCTTCTCCTTGCCTGCTCCACTGCATTTCACCTGGCCTTGGACAGCCTTTAACACCAGGACTACTGTCCTTGGGGTATTGCCTGGGCCCATTTATGTGCAGTGTAAAAGCCCACAATTAGAACTCCTAAATCAACATTCAGATATCAGAATAAATACATTTAGATTTTCAGTTTCAAGGATTCCAGCTCAATTAAATAGGTAAATTCTAGCTCAGTCCCAGTCCTACAGCTCCAGTGAAGTCCTCACCCAGTGAGGTGACCACCTCGTAGTTCTCCAACATCACCTCCCGGTACAGCTCCCGCTGCCATCCTGCCAGCTCTGCCCACTCCTCGGAAGAGAAATAGACAGCCACATCCTCAAACGTCACTGGCATCTGCAACAGAAAGCAAGCCCTGCTCAGCACGTGCAGCTGCACTGACAGGGAGCAGGGGAAGCCAGTGAGTATGGACAAATCCCCTCAGTCCCTGAAGTAGGCCAGCTGCAGCTTAGCACCATGGCAATGCTAGAGAACAGGGAGTAAAATAAAGCAAGTTGCTCACTAACGCCTCTGCAGAAATACTGCCTCTGCTTTGCATCATGGCAGCTAAAGCAGGACACCGGGCAGCTCTTCAGGACTGCTGGGCACTGCCATCCTGCAGAGCACTGCCGGGAGATTTCAGAGTATCCTGGTACAAGGGAAGGGTGAGGGTGGAGAGGCAGTAACCTATATCACAAAGTAGTACAGGATGGTAATTGCAGCACAGCAAGGTGTGCACAGCAGGTCCCCAGCCTTGAGCTGGCTCTTCCACCACCTGAGCCACGTAGGGGTGTCCTGGGAAGGAGGGGAACAGAGCCAAACCTCACTCCCCCAGCGGTCTGCAAGTCTGCATCCTCACGGCATGTGAGTCATCCTGTGACAAGGCTTCCAGAAAGCAGCAGTGTTTCCATCATCTGCCTCACCTCCCTCCCCACTTTTATTTTCAGAGGCAAGTTTAACTTTGATCATGACAGATTAGTGATTAAAGCTCAGAAAACAGGGCCTGTGTACTGTGAGCTACAGCACATAGCTCCATCGGCATCTTTAACCCCGATGCTCCACACCTTCCACAACAGTCCTAGTCCGTGGCAGAGCACTGCGGTCACAAGAGTTGGATTACCTTTTCTGAGGTAGTTTATCAGCAGGCAAACTTCTGCCAGCAAGACTCTCCTAAACTCATTTTGCTTGTGATCCAATCCAGTGCCAATGCTCAGGAACAGAACCAGGCCTCAAACCACTTCCCTCAGAAAGGGCATGACCTGAGGTGCTGGGTCTACCTCCTACCCTGCATAAATTTATGAGCAGTGCCCACCACCTGGGGACACTGTTATCCACAGGGTCTCCCATCGCTGCTCTTCATGTCCTTGGAAAAGACTCGAGCAGGTATCAGGACACAGCCACTAGACCCATAGCACCTCAGACTCGCCCTTGTACCCCATCTCTCTCCCTGCAAGTATCTTTTCTCCATGCAAACCTCCTGGCCTCCTTTTAAGATCCTCTTGCTTTCCATTTAGCTTTTTCCCTCTGTAATCCTCCTCCCCTCCAAACCCCACACATGCTGCTGTTTGCAGCAGGATCTAGCTTGCTGCCAGCATGGAAAGACCTCTGGCAATGCTCCTGCGAGATTTCAACTATAGGGAAAAGCCCCTGTCCTCTCCCCTCTTTCTAAAGCAGATAAACAAAGGAGAAGCAAGAGTAGCTTTAGATACAGCTACAAAGATGTCAGTTTGATGTCTGCTACAAAGACGCTGTTCTGGAAGATCTCATAGATCCAAGAACAATATTGCCAGGTGCAGAACAACTCAGCAGGCTGCTGGAAGGTGACCGGAAAGGACAGCCTGAAATCACACTGGAAAGGGAGGACTATAGCCCAGAAGAGAGGGAAAGAGGGGTTACGTTTAGACTTGCTAAGAAAGGAGACTTGAGGGGTTGCAGCAACTGGCCCTGCATTTTGGGGATGGCAGAACCCGTGACATTCTTGTCCGTCATCAACATAAGCAGCTTTGGAGTGGCCATACATAGCAGACATGAGAACAGCAACCTAAGTTTCATCCTCATTGGTCCCACAAGGACCACATTTTCACACTCTTACACCACAGCACAAATTCAAACCATAGCTGGTAGAAACCTCACGTTCCGTGGCTTTCCCACAGAAGAAACCACTGACGAGGTGGATATAAAGTTACCGAACAAGATAGCAGGAGCACTGAGATTCCTAGATTACAAATCTGTATCAGAACACACATCAGCAAGGATAAACCAGGAGCAAGTAGACTAGTTTATCATTAACACTGGTGCCAGGCACTATCCCCCACCTTGCCTGAGCAGCTGTGGGGTTTGCCATGCTGCAGGCTCTCAGCATGGAGATGGAAGCACGCACCAATATTTAGCCATAAAGATGGAGGTTGGATGCTCCAGATTCTGCAGAATACATCTATCTCATAAATCAGTCAAACAGATGCAGCAAAGACAAACGGACTTGCAAATTCTGCGAAGCACAAAATTTTAATCAATAAATCAGAGAAAGAAGTTAACTTACCTATCAACAACTGTATTCCCTTGGAACACAGAGAACTATTAATAAACGCACTAACCTACACAGCATTGCTCATGATCCTGGAGAGACTGCCTGTTTGGCGCAAAGTCAAGAAAGAAAACAATAAAAAGGATGATTCGGAAAGCTCCTTACAGTACCTAAGTCAGCCTCTGACAAGCACGAACACCAGAACGAAGACCTGTAAAAGCAGCACCTCAGGGGTGCTCGTGTGAGAAGCAGGCTCTGGGAGGTTTCACCACCCACCCAGCGCAAACTGAGGCTGCAGCCGGTGCTCGGCTGTGCTGCCCTGGTGCTCCCAGTCTGCCCCAGCCCGTCACTCCCATGTCCCGCGAGTGACAGAGGAAGGCAGTGCTGCAGCCGGCAGCAATGGCCCGGGCA